TGTTGTACTACGAGTTGTTACAACCGGGTGAAACAGTCACGGCAGACCGCTACCAACAACAATTGACCAATTTGAGCGATGCATTAGAAGAAAAGAGGCCATTTACTGGCCAAGGACGTCGTAAAGTGATCTTGCTTCATGACAATGCTCGACCTGTTGCGAAAGCGACTCAGGACCATATCTTTGCGTTAGGCTGGGAACTTTTTCCACACGCGGCGTATAGCCCAGACATGGCGCCTTCCGATTACTACCTATTCCGGTCGCTGCAGCATCATTTGGCTGATACACATTTCGTGAGATTAGAAGAGATACGAAAATGCATTGATGACTTTATCGCTTCGAAGCCGGTGAGTTTCTATCGTCAAGGAATTCGCAAGCTCCCCGAAATATGGCAAAAGGTCGTTGATGTAAACGGAGAATATTTCGCTGATTAATATTTTTTCATTTGTTTTTGAATAAAGATTGAATTTTACAAAAAAAAGCTCAGAACTTTTTTGTACACTTAATATTTAATCTATAGAAACTTACGAAAATAATAAATCGTTTAAATTGTATTCTTAAATGGCAACTACAATTAATAGCAAAACTATTTTACTATTTAAACAAACAATACTCGAATATTAATGAATTAAGACATTTGTAATTTATATCCAAAAATAATACACATACAATTCACATACTATATTTTGATAGACACATTATTTATAACAGATTATTGCAAATAAATCCACCATAAACTATCGCATAATTTTAAGGTGTTTCATAATTTATAGGTAAATCATCCATAACCAATTATCTTACGTAAAAAAGTGATTTAATTTCATATTTAAACGTATTCACATAAGAATAACATTAGAATAATTTATTATTGAGATAATAAATAAATTTTAGTACATTCACAATGTTAATAAAAAAGTTCGTTAAATCTACTTTCCAAATTAAAAAATGCATTAAACTTTTGAGCAGTGACATTAATATAGCTGTAACATATTAACAATTATATCTCAAAAAACGTAAAAAATTATATCTCAAATTTTAGATTATTTCAAATAGCTCACTAATATTAATCTCTCTTTCGGATACTAAATTTACTTATATTATAACAATTTATAATTTATTACGCGTAGTTTTCAGTAAAAATTTAACAATCTTGTGTTCCAATTCTAATTTAGCATTATGACGAATGCATTAAATGGCGATTCTTATACCAGTGAATTTTTACCTTATATTACCATGCAGTTGACCCCATCAACCCTCTCAGAAATCGCAGAAGATATGTGTATACAATGTTTATTATTTAATTTACTAAACACATCATATTTGATGCATTATGTGATAATAGTTCTACAAAATGGAATGCAACCCCTGTTCCACAACATAAAAGTCGACATAGCTAGATGCCTTAACTACAACATATAATCTTGCCGGAGTAGGTAAGAAATTACAAGGCGTTTAATTTTTTATTAAATGGAGTATTTCTAAAATATGAATAATTCATACAGGATTAGGAGATAACACGTCGGTACTAGAATTCATTCATGACGGAACAAATGTACCGTGGAATTATAGAACACGGAATATTGAAGATGTACTCACAACCAGCTGCCATGATTCTTTTATCATCGGATCTACTTACGCTACAAAACATGTACCTTATTACGGACACGTATGTATTATCAATATTTTCACATTTTCATGCCCATGTAGATAATACACAACATTATGATATGATAATGTCACTGCTACGTAATTGACGAGGTAATGGTAGATAGCAAGCAGCAATAATCTTCGAACCATATCATCAAATCACCGTTACCTAACTATTATTTTGTAATTCCATTCTACTGATTTAATGCTATTCAATTCATTCTAATGAGTTTCAATCATGCTTTTATCATACACACGATTCCTATGATATTATTACTGTTTCTCATAAACTTGATTACTGTTGTAGCTCATTATGAATGCAACGTATAGAACACCTATGAATATTAGGAATGAGAGTCGCCTTATTTTCGCAGAGAGGCGTAATGGACAGACAAGAATAGAAAAGTTAATTGATCCTAATCAAATGATATATACCAACAAAGGCAGTTTCTTTATCAGCGAGGGTAAGACGGGCCTTGTTATCAGAGTGCGTACAAAAGGTCGAAAAACTATTAACACAGATATTATACTTCAATGCAAACAGTTCTTTATGAAAAATATAAAAGGAATGAAAATAAAATTATTGGTAATAATTGGTAGTCTAGTGTATACAGTTAAAAAAGGACATATAAAAACTATTACATAATTTTCTATGTCTGGCCTCAAAGCTTTAGGTGGTGTTCTAAAGATGACAAACGGAAGTGTGGTGTGTAATCTTATGTGGGACGATTATGAGGAGCCAATGTTAGAATCATTTCATGATTTTATTAGAATACAGCAATGTCCCGAGACACATCTAGAGTCAGATATGATAGCCGTTGGTGCAATAATTAATGATAAGCCACTAATAACTCGGGAACAGCGTTACGGTGTTGTAAGTTATTTGTCTCAGTTATGCGGACACTAAAAACAATCTTGATCTTGAAGTTATCATATTATATTATTTACTATAGATAAATATCATTAGAAATTTAATTGTAATTAATTAATACAATTATTTTTGTCAATCCGCTGCTGTCAAATTTAAATTTGTAATTATTATATAAGTTACGTAGGTTAAAATAGTAGAACCTTTCTCAATCATTTAATCATTGAACGCAACAGATTTGTATAAATCCGAAAATTTAAACATACCGAAGTATTGGTATTTTTTAGTTGTTCGTTTTTTAGAAGCGAGTTCCATTGTTTCTCTAATTATGGAGCAGGCGGACAATTTATTAGCGATATTACACCGGATACGACGGAATATGAAGGTTACTTCAATATAACAGAACATATGCGTATAATACCAGTTATATATAACTAAATTTTAATATTGGACTAGGTCATTATGTATTCTCATATGTAAATAGAAATTAATGTAATGTTAGCACATTATTGTGACGAAGATGTTATAGATTACAATAATTTATAAGCCTTTTTTGACGTAATATTTATAATATAATGAGGAGCTTTATTTCTAATATTTGAAAACTCTAACAACTAATACCATTGGATTTAAAGATATTCAATCTTGCTATATTTCCCTAAAACGAAAATCGATAAAGTAATTAAATTCATCATTCGGTTACTTTAATTGAATATAATTTTTCTAATTTTTCAATATAACATGACAAAAATTCTTGTAGTATTAAGTACAATTCTGGAATAGATAACATAATTGACTCACTCTTAACGGACCGCTTAACGAGAAAGTATGAGTTAAAATTATATTGTAACATTGTTAAAGAGGATTCTACGCTGGTTCATAAGTCGAGATCAAATCGATATCGATGTATTTTTCGAACCATTTGATTTGATGTTGATTGTATTTTCTATGGTTGCGTTAAAGTTACGAAAATGATTTTAAAAAGTGATTTGTTCCATTATGCGGTTACTAAAAAAAGTAATAAGTAACTTATAACGCATAGACGAATTATTTTTTTTATTACAAAAAATGTAACAAATAAAAATAATTAAATACAAATAAATAATTATTTTTTTCAATAATGACTATTCTAATCCGTTAGAAATAGTGTTTGACTTTTGCAACTCTTGTGTTATCGTTACCATCATAAAAATTTCATAATATCATTATCAAATTATTATTATATCAAAATAAAAATGATAAAAGCATACTTTCATTCTTTTAAGTTTCCATTTTCTCGTTTACTGTCATTATGCTTTTGTAATGCAAATTTCATATTTATATAGAATATGACTTCCTCGAATGTATCCATTTACATACAATAATCTGAAATAAATACATTAAATTAAATTTTTTTTTATTTCTTATCGACAAAATACTATATAAGATGAAATATATATACAGTTCATATAACTACATATAATGTATGCATAATTTTATAATAAATCAGATTTTCATAATGTTCGAATAAATTTCATGATATACATTATCCGTATTTTAATGTTTTATGCAAAAATATACATGCACAAATATACATGCGTATACAGTGAGTGCAAGAAGTACTCATATAACAAAGTTTTTATAAAAAAAGTTTCATTTGTCGAATGTTTGAGATCGGTAATTCGAAAAAAAAGGTAAGGACTCCTTCGGTCGACCGACAGTGATTGTTATTGAACGCACGCACAAGGCGAGCTCGTGATTTCATCTCGAGCCTGACATTAAGCCTCGTCAAAGTCAGGGATTCATCGTTCTTTAGTCTTTTCAAAACAATTCGGTACACGCAAACAGGCACCGGCAACGGACCATCGAAAGTTCTAGAACAATTCAATTCGCGCACGCGAGCGCCGCGCTCCGACGAATACTTCACGCGCTGTCACCAATCCCGCGTACGGATTTTCTGTCGCGCATGACTGTTACGTTGAACGTCGTTGGAAAAGAATCGAAAGCGCCAATCAATTTTGTACAACCAATGCCACGTGATAATTACGATTGTGGCAAAATTTAGTTGGATTTCTCCCAAGAAGAAAGCCCAGACCGAAAGCAATAAATGCTTCGATCTCGCCGTTCCTCCGGGGCAGATTGCTTAGATAGTTACACCGCTTAAACCGTTTATACCGCTTAGAGTTCTTAGACTTCTTAGAGTTCTTACTTCTAAAGTTCTTAGAGTTCTTAGAGTCATAGTCTCGCTACTATATTAATAAATATTAATATTAAGTTTTATACAATGAATACGGTCTATTCTAATATAAGCAAACAAAGTTTGCACGATTTCTTATTTAGATAATTTTCTCCATTATACGTATAATTTCCGTGCGTGCAAATAATGCTATTTTTAATTTCTACTTATTTTAAAGATAATATATTTTATTTAAAAATATTACACATTTTGTAATAAAATAATTTTGAGAAATATATAATCTACTTTATTCTTAATAAGTACATAAATATCTAATCAACCAGCGACAAATGACCGTCAATTAGATATCAAAACCGATTAATTTGGAAAATATTGCATTATATTTTTTGTCACTTAGATGTCATTAGACTTTTAATTTTTTATTTGTATTAATTAATACAATTGTTTTTATCAATATGTTTCTGTCAAATTTGAATTTGTGTGATGACAAAAATAAATTATATTAATGAAATATTTCACAATTACTTAATCGTTAAACGCGATAATTGTTTCTAAATCTCAAAAATTAATGAAATATTGATGTTCCATAATTTTCAGTAGGTATATGTCCAATAGGCGTGAGTTACATAGTTTCTCCAATTATAGAGCAGATAGGCAATTTATTAGTGTACTACTCCAAATATGACAAAATATGAAGATTATTTAAATTTAAAAAAAACATTTAATTATAACATATTATAAATATATTATAATAAATTACCTTTTTAAAATTCAACTAGATCCTTATATATTTTCATATATAAACAAAAATTTATGCAATGTTATCAACACATTGTTGTGACAAAAATATTGTATCAGATAGTATATTACAAGCTTACAAGTTTTTTGATGCATATTTGATACTATTATTGAGACTTTAAGGCTTTTAATATTCGAGAAACGTTCAGTTCGAAAAACGGGCTAGTAATCCAGCAGTAAAGTATTATGTAAAGTCGGCTTTAAATACATTATCCAATAAAAGAAGCAAATACTACATTAATATATTCAAATGGAATATTCATTTTGAGTATGAAGATTTATATATAGCTCAAATGTATTCATTAGCTCCATCATTACGACATTACACGTTAAAAATAAACAATGTAAACAACATTATTGAATTAATAATAAAAGACGGATAAAATATATATTATGTGACATTTTAAAAATATCGCGTTTGTTTTTGAATAGAAATTAGATTTGTATAAATTAGATTTTAAATAAACGTTTTATTAAAAATAAATAATGCATTTTAAATTTCTATTTATTTATAAATTTCAAAAGCTAGTAACGATTTCATAAAATTATGTTTATCAGTTATTGATTCAGATGACCGCTTTGGTTCTAAAGTATATTAAATTGTTGTATTCTTGTTATATTTGGGAAAAAGCAGCATCTCAAAATGTGCCATACCGTTCGTATAGTTATGACAGGAAAGACGTATCTATGACGATGATTTAATTAAGAAATTAAACATTCTGCGATCATATAATACTTTTGCAACGTAATTGGTAAGTAGAACACACACACAAACTTGATATGCAAGAATATACACGACATAATGTCTGTATTATTCTAATTGAAACGACCAAGAGAACAAACAAGATGTTTAAATAAGTAAAACATTTTACGATTTAATAAAAATACAATAATACAGGAAACATTTTGACTTATAGAGTCATCATTAATTTGTAGTTAAACATATAAAAGATAAAAAAATATTACGAAATACACTTAAATGAAGTTATAAATGAATACAATTTAACTAAACAATTGAGGGCTAAAGGAGCCGAGCTGGATCTATTGTGTTGATAAAATATTCTCGTTAGATATTTCAAACGTTCATACCATTTAACCATGATTTTATAGTGGTGTACATAATTTTACTTAGTAAGTATAATAATTTGAATAAAAAGCATCAACAATTATCAGTTTTCCATTTTATCATCTTATTTAATATCGTGAAATAATTCCTCGTTATAATACTAAATATTATGTGTTCTTAATGTGATCCATGATTCGAAACTATTTCCAGTTATATGTACTGGAAAATCACATCCTCTATGGTCTTAACGAGGAATGATTTAACGATGTTAAAAATGATATAATGAAAAACTAATAATTGTAACTGCAATTACTTTCAATTATGAAATTTTGCTTTTTACATCTTATTTGCTCGACTCTCGGTCGTTTAAATTAGCATATTTTTTGCTTTTCAAACTAGCGTTATCTGACTAATTTGTTTATATTTCTTTATTTATTTAATAATATTTATTTAATAATATTTCAACCGTACTTCAATCTAAACATGTCTTGTGTTTGTTTCATGGATACTGTTTTATGGATAATGTTTTTATAACATTATTATATCACGGTTTTTAATTGTGAAAATTAAATGACAAATTCAATTTAACAGCACATTAACAGCTACATACACAGAGCGACATTTGTTATATTTTTTTAATATACTTAATCCACAGAAACTTACGAAAATAATAATCGTATAAATTGTATTCTTGGCAACTACAATTAATAGCAACTATTTTACTATTTAAACAAACAGTACTTAAATATTAATGAATTAAGACATTTGTAATTTACATCCAAAAATAATCCGCATACAATTCACATAATATATTTTAGTAGATACATTATTTATAACAGATTATTGCAAATAAACCCATAACTAATAAACTCATAAACTATCGCTCAAAATTTTAAGATGTTTCGTAATTTTTAGGTAAATCATCCATAACCAATTACCTTATTTAAAAAAGTAATATTTCATTTCATATTTAAACGTATTCACATAATTAAAATAATTTATTATTAAGAAAATATAAATTTTAGTACATTTACAACGTTAATAAAAAAGTTAGTTAAATCTACTTTCCAAATTAAAAAATGCATTAAACTTTTGAGCAGTTTATATAGCTGTAACATATTAACAATCATCTCTCAAATTTTAGATTATTTCAAAAAGCTCGCTAATGTTAACCTTTCTTTCGGATATTAAATTTACTTATATTATAACAATTTATAATTTATTACGCGTAGTTTTCAGTAAAAATTTAACAATTTTGTGTCCCAATTCTAATTTAGCATTATGGCGAATGCATCAAATGGCGATTCTTATACCAGTGAATTTTTATCTTATTTTACCATTCAGTTGACCCCACCAACCCTCTCAGAAATCGCAGAAGATATGTGTATACAACGTTTATTATTTAATTCACCAAATACATCATTTGATGCATTATGTGATAATAGTTTTACAAAATGAAATGCAACCCTTGTTCCATGACGTAAAAGTCGACATAGCCCTTATTTAACTACAGCACCATACAGGTATAATCTTGCCGGAGTAGGTAAGAAATTACAAGGCATTCAATTTTTCTTTTATTGGAATATCTCTAAAAAATGAATAATTCATACAGGATTAGGAGGTAACACGTCGGTAGTAGAATTCGTTCATGACGGAATAAATGTATCGTGGAATTATAAAACATGGAATATTCAAGATGTACTTACAAGCAGCTGCCATGATTCTTTTATCATCGGATCTACTTACGCTACAAAACCACATATGCCTTATTACGGACACGTATGTATTATCAATATTTTCACATTTTCATGCCCATGTAGATAATACACAATACTATGATATGATAATATCACTGCTACGTAATTGACGAGGTAATGATAGATAGCAAACAGCAATAATCTTCGAATCATATCATCAAATCACCGTTACCTTACTATTATTTTGTGATTCCATTCTACTGATTTAATGCTATTCAACTCATTCTAATGAGTTTCAATCATGTTTTTATCATACACACGATTCCTATGATATTATTACTGTTTCTCATAAACTTGATTACTGTTGTAGCTCATTATGAATGCAACGTATAGAGCACCTATGGATATTAGAAATGAGAGTCGCCTTATTTTCGCAGAGAGGCGTAATGGACAGACAAGAATAAAAAAGTTAACTGATCCTAACCAAATGATATACACCAACAAAGGCAGTTTCTTTATCAGCGAGGGTAGGACGGGCCTTGTTCAGAGTGCGTGCAAAAGGTCGAGAAACTATTAACACAGATATTATAACTTCAATGCAAACAGTTCTTTACGAAAAATATAAAAGGAATGAAAATAAAATTATCGGTAATAATTGGTAGTCTAGTGTATATAGTTAAAAAAGGACATATAAAGACTATTACATAATTTTCTATGTCTGGCCTCAAAGCTTTAGATGGTGTTCTAAAGATGACAAACGGAAGTGTAGCATGTAATCTTATGTGGGATTATAAGGAGCCAATGTTAGAATCATTTCATGATTTTATTAGAATACAGCAATGTCCCGAGATACATTTACTGTCAGATATGATAGCCGTTGGCACAATAATTAATATAAATATATAAGCTAAAATTTGTCATTGTGGAACGGCGTTATGATGTTGTAAGTTATTTGTCCCGGTTATGCAGACGTTAAAAACCATTGATCTTGAAGTTATCATTTTATACTATTTAACATAGATAAATATCATTAGAAATTTAATTGTAATTAATTAATATAATTACTTTTGTCAATCCGCTTCTGCCAAATTTAAATCTGTAATAATTATAAAACTTACATAGGTTAAAATAGTAGAACCTTTCTCAATCATTTAATCATTGAACGCAACAAATTTGTATAAATCCGAAAATTTAAACATACGTTCAAGTATTGATATTTTAGGTTATAAGTATTGATATTTTTTAGTTGTTCGTTTTTTAGAATTTGTACGTTAGAAATGAGTTTTGTTTCTCTAATTATGGAGCAGGCGGACAATTTATTAACGATATTACATCGGATATGACGGAATATGAAGGTTACTTCAATGTAGCGGAAAATATGAGTGTAATACATTTACATAATTAAATATCACTTTAATATTAATCTAGGTCATTACGTATTTTCATATGTAAACAGAAATTTACAATTTGTAATGTTAGCACATTTTTGTGACGAAGATCATATCAAATTACAATAATTTATAAGCCTCCTTTGACATATTTTTTATTTAATGAGGATGTAGAATTCTTAATATTCGAGAAACGTTTTAATAATTAAATCCTTTGGATTAAAAAATGTAGAATCTTGCTATGTTGAGACAAAAAAATCGATAAAGTAACTAAATTCATAATTTATTATACAGCATAAATTCATAATTCGATTACTTTAATTGAACATAATTTGAATTCTAATATTTTTCGATATAGTGTTTCATCAAGATCAAAAAATTAAAGAAATCTTACTTTGATTTTATCTCGACTTAAGACCAAAACAAAAAATTGGAAATTGATTTTAAGAAATTGTCAAGAAATTGTTGACAAGAAATAGTTATCATGTCCATTTATTGACAATATGTCAAGAAATTTTTTGAAATTTCTTGAAATTTTGACAGTTTTTATTTTTAATACTTTATTATTTTAATATTTTTTTATTTTATTTCTGATTTAAAAAGTTTTGAATAAGTTGGATTTCAACGTTTTCAATTGTATTTATTGGTATTTATAACAGATTATAAATACCATTAAATAATATAGATTTCTATATTATATAATATAGAAATGTATATTCATACATTTTCATTAAATAGCAAAATAGCATATGAGCAGAGTGTAAATCGATTAATGAAAAAGAGAGTGAAATCCCTAACCAAATTAAATTATACTCATCGATTGTTGTACTAGATACATTTATATGTAAAGGAATATATATAAGGAATATATATAAAATTAATGAATTGCGAGATTACTGGCAAAAGTATAAACGTTTGCGTAACTTCTACTGATAGTATCAATTAAATGGATAATCAAGAATGAGATTAAAATATATAGTAATAATAATAATTATAGTAATAATAATAATAATTATTATTATATATTATTATTATATATTATTATTATATAGAATTATTATTATTATTATTATTATATCTAATAATCTCAGGAATCTAATAATCTGAAATAGTTACATTTGATAGTAACTTCATGATATTAAAAATGATAATTTGAGAAATATTTTTAATTTTTATAAATAGATTTGTGCATAATAGACATTATAAGCACACTTTTAAACCATGAATTTAAACATAGTAAATTACGAGACGATTCGGCATTCAATTTGTTCCTATCTTTTCTTATTATTTCTTACGACACGACGTAGTCAAACCCACAAGCAAAGGGAACAAGTATAAAGAAGAATTCCATACATCGCATTTTATTATCTATATTCTTTCATTATATTTTCATTTTATTTTCTATTTCTTATATAAGAAATAGATAAAAATCTTATATAAGATGAAATGAATACACAGTACATGTAACTATCTATGTGTATTATATGGATAATCTTATAATAAATCGGACTTTCATAATCTGAATAAATTTCACTATATGTATATATCATTAGTATTTTAATGTTTTCAAAATATTATGCATATGCACGAGCATGTATATTTTTTGTATAGTGTTGTGTATAGTGTCATTTAGTATTATTAATAATTTTCAATTTTCATGAAGAAAAGTAAGAAAGTGTAGCCCAGATATTAATCTTCTAACGTGTTTGAAAGTTCCTCAATCGCGTAACTCTTTGATTTTTCTCACTCCATAAATGTATGTTGTGAGAACTTAATATTTCTTCTAAATAACGATTCGTCGCTAAATATTACACGAAATAGAAATCTGGGATCAGGAGGGTGTAATGAAATGCATGCAATTTTTCTTCTTTCAATATCCTCTGTATAGTTGAATATATAATAAATCGTGCTCTCGAGCAATAATCTGAATACAGAAAGAATAATATATAATAATTCGTGCTTTTGAACAAAAACCTGAAACAAGTATTCGAGTTATGGCTCGAGAGCACGATTTATCATATTCAACTATACAAAAGATATTGAAAGAAAAAAAATTGTACGCATTTCATTGTACGCATTTCACCTCCGTGCAACATTTGAGAAAAGAAGATTATCCTCTAAGAAGGAGATTTTGCGAAAACTTTTTAAGAAAAATAGATCGAGATCCCAGATTTCCATCTCGTGTAATATTTAGCGACGAATCGCTATTTACATGAGAAGGAATATTAAATTCTCACAACATGTATTTATGGAGTGAGGAAAATCTGAGAATTACGCGATTGAGGATCTTTCAAACACGTTGGAAGATTAATATTTACGCAGGAATTATGGGAACTGAAATATTAGGTCCCGTTATTCTCCCAAATATTTTAAACGGAGTAATATACGTCGAACTTTTAAGAAATAATTTGCAGATTTTTTAAAAGATATACTACCATTACTAGAAAGAAACTAATTTTTCTAAACTAATTTTTCAGCAAAACGGCGCTGGGCCACATAACGTCAGAATTGTGACAGCTTATTTGAACGAGCAGTTTCCGAGATGGTGGATGGGACGGGCTAATACGTTGGCCCACAAGATCTCCAGACCTCAATCTTCTGAATTTCTTTTTCTGGGGCTATTTCAAGTTAATTTATAAAATGCTTCCTGAAGATGTAGAAGATCTAGAAACAAGATTGCGATATGCTATATGGGCTATCAAAGAGGAAAATGTTATGGAAAATGTACAAAGAAATTTGTTGAGACCCGCGCATACAAGCCTGCATTATGATGGATGATGGTCATTTTGATTATTTTTTATAAAATTTTTTCTTTCATCCTTTTCAGAGCGTCTAAAGCAATTTGCTCTTTTCAGAGCGTTCAAAACAATCCGTCCTTTTCAGGATGATCAAAAGTAATCCGCCCTTTTTAGGATGGACTAATACGTTTTTACCTGGAATAATTCTCATAAGGCAAAATAAAAAGAGAAAAGAATGAAAGAACTCTGATGAAAATTTTTCTCAGAATTTTTTATATAATTTTTTAGAATTTTCATATAATTTTTCAGAATTTCTCTATAATTTTATAACTTTCTCACATTTTTTTGTACGAATTGGAACATTTCTCAAATAATCTATATCTTTTCACAGAACTTTTCATATATGTTAATTATGAAATATCGTAAGATTTTTAAGATTTTTTATAAGTATAATTTCTAATGAAATGTTACAAAATCTAAAAAATTTAAAAATACTTTTTAAAAATTATGTGATGAGAAATTTCAAAATATTTCAGAATTCACTTGTATGAGAAGTTCTGAGAAAAGATGTAAATTTTCCGAATATTTCTGAAAAATATCCCAATTTGTATAAAAATTATGAAGAAAATTATGAGAAAAATTTTCATCAGAGAAACATATGGGAAATATTAACTCTGCAAAAAACGAGTAACATGCAATATTATAATAGTTCATCGTTGATCTTTCATCGTTTGCAATTGAAATTGTCAATTTAAAATTTTTGTGACGCTTCAATTAATTACGCGTTCATGTTAAACACCGATACTTCAGTTATGAAGAATCTTTCTTGGTCATAGTAATTTAACTTAACCCATAATATAAAATTAATGCATTAAGTCAATAAGTCAGATTACATGATCATGTGAATTTGCCTGCATTTGACTGTTTAACCATAATCAATAAAATCAGTGCGCACTGCTTGCCACTGCTTGCCACGTCGAGTAATTGTATTTTTACACGGGATTTTTGATCGCCAAACAATTAATCGATAGTGATCGATAATATTAGGTGTACAACTTTGCTTCCGCCGATTTTTTTCCGAAATTCGAGACTTTATTGTAAAAAACTGGTTATACATTTATGATTCAAAGTATTGTCCATCGCTGGCCACTACTTTCTCCCATCTTTCGGGCAGCGTACAAATCCCGCGTCGAAAAAACTGGTCATCTTTTGAGACGATCCACGAATCGATCCAATTTTTTACTTCTTCATAAGACCGGAAATGCTGGTCAGCCGTGTGCCATTGATCGAAACAAGTGATAGTCAGAGGGAACAACGTCTGGAGAATACGGCGGGTGAAGTAGGACTTCCATTTCAACGTTTCCAAGTATGTCTTGACCACTTTCGCAACATGGGGTCGAGCATTGTCATGCTGCAAAATCACTTTATCGTGTCTCTCGTTGTATTGTGGCCGTTTGTCTTTCAATGCTCGGCTCAAATGCATCAATTGCGTTCGATACCGATCGCCTGTGATTGTTTCAGTCGGTTTTAACAGCTCATAATACACTACGCCGAACTGATCCCACCAAATACAGAGCATGACCTTGGAGCCGTGAATATTCGGTTTGGCCGTCGACGTAGAAGCATGGCAGTCTTTGACGTCAAAATCACCGTTCTTGAAGCATTGAAACCACTCAGGACACGTTCTTTCACTAATAGTGGCCTCATCATAAGTATTTGAGAACATTCGATGAGCCTCAGCCGCAGATTTCTTCATATTGAAACCTCTCGCAAATGACGAGAATTTGGCTCGTAAATTAACATTTTCAATCGAGAATAACTTTATGATGCAGACACGAATCGACTAATG